AAATTCAGACCCACTAATTGCGATCAAGGCTACTTTTAGGCACACCTCATCAATCAGCTCTGGTAGAAAACGCCATGCTTGCGATGCCAGCTGTGGTGCCATTTTGACACAAATTGATGCCGTCACAGTGAGTGCGATGGCGTAAAAGTGGCTGTGATGGCATCAGGTTCTGTCAAAATGGCATCGCAGCTGGCACTGCAAACAGGCTGTTTTCTACTGCTGCAGCCAACGGACATGCGGATTACCAATACGGGCTGTCAATCCTTATGGCACGTAATTTCAGCCGACAAATTAAATTAAATGCTCGTTGCAACCTTTCATCACACGGACCCACTTATCACTTTTTCATCATGAAAACGATCGGTTCGTGCCATCCGTCCTTATAACATGTCAAATCACATCTTGCGGCATGACATCCTACACTTATTACTCATTCACATTAGGCATATCAAGAGAACCTATGAATAACATGCCACTCCTCGTCATCTGACCCCTGAAGCTACCCCTCGCCATCCACGACTGCCTCAACGCCCTTCCCGCTAGGTCCCACAACCCTCTGTCCAGTCGCGCGCGTGTCACGCTACCCGCCGCCCGTCATCACCTGACTCCGTCCTCGCCTGCTTTCCCATGCCTCCGCCATGGGCGCCAATGCCTTGATCGCGTCCGTCATTGCTGATTAGGCCTTCAAATCCAGCACCGTGCCTGGCCGTCCATCACGTCATGGACTCCAACATCCCTTGGGGCCATCGCAGGTCCACCTTGACATGCAAATTCCGTGCATGGCGTGAGGAATCATTGCCATGCGGACAGCACCGCCACGCCCATTTGACTTCGCCACCGTCATCGTCCTAGCGCCTTGGCAGCCACGCTCCCGCAGCTATGCTCAAGTGCGTCGCTGCAAGTTGCCACCACCGTGCGTGCGCCTCTGAGGCGACCAACCACAACTCGGAGTCCAAGGTTGCCGTACGACATCGAAGGCTGCTATGACACATGGCAGCTGATGGCGCGCACCCCAAGGTATGAGATGGTACCCGTATATCCGTTAGTATTAGGTTGATATTGGTTGTGTGTACTCCGCACAAGAGTGTGACATTAAGGGTGGGGGCGGGTATAGCAATACATGATATCCCGCCAAGCCATCATATGAAGGACCCAAGATTAAATTCAGGCCAATCCTGACCTATGGTTGGGCATGGACGACCTATGGCGCCTTGTTGTGCTGCTTTCTGTCGTCTCATAATACCGTATCTACTGTATTCTCCTAGTCTATAATCAAGCTCATTTTTTTAGACCTTTTGTCGACAATGCACGTGCTCAGCACTACTCCCCATCACTATCAATCAAAAAACTGATTCTACAGCGATTCCAGCGCCCATCCAGGGCCTACCATTTCACGCTGTGTGCCCACGGCTGGTATAATGGTGCCTTTAGATGTCTCATTACACACATGCGAATGGACACGACTGGCTGTCCTTGTGGACCTGTGACAGTAATTATTCGCGCAAATTTTTGACAGTACATTCCGCGTCGTGGCATTCAGTTGGATCCATACTCGTAGTGCCAATGAATCAGTGGATTTGCACCCAATCCTAGCAGCGAGTTATCGCCAGGGCGAACTATTCCAGGCAGCTGAAATCCCATTATGATGAAACACAAATCACATTCCGTCAAGGCCTTTACGTTGGCTGTCATATAGTTCTGTCTTTGGTCCCGTATACAGTTGCTGATTACGGGACATCACTACAACCAATTTCATAACTTGTTTCCGGCTGGTTTCCTGCTTAACGGTTCTTAGTACTCATCCGTTTTCTTTTCCCTTTGTTCATAATGATCTGTCACATGTATGGAAGCATGTTCAGGTCTTACTGAAAGGGCGTCCGCCAAGGTCCAATCAAGGTTGTGGGCTTGTCCTTTCATAAAGGGACAGATGCTGTTTCAGCAATTTCACGGTTGCATAGTAACGTAACATGCTCAAGGGGCAGCCTGCCATGGAGTGTGTTGCTTGCAGCATGCATGACTGTTCATTGACGCCAGATTCATGCAGCCTTCAGTCATACACACAATTCATGCTAAATCAGCCTTACAACCCATGGCACTTCCCTTGTCTCTTTTTTCGTACTCAAGGCATGGCCAGTTGTCTCACCCCATCCCTTTTTGCATACTGCCCGTATCAAGCATACCAAACCCATTCTAGCATGCTTTTTACAGCTCGTATTCTTGGAATAACTTAGCCACTAGCATCACCTCTTTACACAGCCATATTTTCCTATAGTTGTCAGGCCAGATTCTTCGTGACCTTCTCGTGGCTGAAGCTTCAAGTCGGATGTACACAGCCCTAGCATCGTATTTCTGCCTTCCTTTCAGTGAGCCATCCATGTGCATGACTCACAGAAGTGAGAAGTGATGCACAGAAGTGCTGTGCATCAACATATACTCAGTGACTTTCATTTGCCAAACGTTTGACATATGCTCACAATGCCTAGACGCCAGACGATTCTGGATGACGGCTTTAACATCCGACACACCAGAATCAACATCAACTTCACTTTTTCCAGTCATGCGCAAATATTGATCCTTTTCTTCTGATCTGTACATTAGCTTACTAATCGGATCCCGCTCCAGTCAAACGCCCTGTCAGTCATCAAGACACATCATGTTATAATGATGGTCATAACATTAAGCAGTGCGCTTTCGCTAGACAAAGCGTTGTGCCCCCGTGCATGGAAGGCAACGTGAGGCACACGTTTGTGACCACGGGCGCTTGCCTTGTGCCGCATCCAATGGTTGCAACCCTGACCCCCCCTTGGCAGGTGTGTTGCACGGCGGCTTGTCAAATTGTACACATATCGTATACCAAACGTACACGTATACGTATACGTGTTATATGGTATAATATACAATCGCAGTGAAGGCGGGGTTCATCCCCGTGGCGCTCGCACGTCAGGCGAGTCGCCAGAAACACCGGCAATCCCCTTCACGACAAGTGGCTGGCAATTCGTGGATTGCCCTTTTCAAAGGCCGTGAGCACAAAGCCCTTGCTTCCAGTGACCACAGATCGGACGCCCGAGGGTGTGACTGGCCTCGGTCGCCTCGCAGGCTTTCGGACGGTGTTGGGTCAAGTGGGAGATGAGGGCAATCAGGGTTGAAGCCATCCCTTGTGCTCACACATCACGCCAATCTCCAGAAACGTCGAGAGCCCCTCGAACCGCGCAACGGCCCAGTGAAAGAGCGCGTCACCGAAACGGACAGGGACTTCAAACCCGCACACCCACCGCTCGACGCACTGCACAGCCCGACACAGAAAAGGGTCTTCAGGTGTGGCCCGGCAACTTCTTTGATGGCCGCCAGCCAGGTGTGGACCCCGCCCGCTGCGGAGTCATGTGGGGGTGGCCTCGACCGCTGACTGCCTTGAATGCGACCCGGGCTCGCGACGAGACGCCAGGGGACAAGCAAATCAATCAGCCGACATGGGCCCCAGCACCCCCCTCACCGGGCGCGTCGCCACTCGGTGACGTCACACCCGCCCCTCATGGTCCTACGCGCGAGGGGGAAGTCAGGCGAAGGCACACCACATCATGGCGCCCCGCCCCACACTGGCGACTGTCATCGGCCCCCCGAGGCGGTTCACAGGATCAAGGACGCCTCTCCAAAACCCGCAAGTGTGAGCGCTCCCGCATCGCGTTGCCACCCCAATGCGCCGGCCAAAACGTCGTCCCGAATGCGAGGCATTACACCCCCCATCAACCGGCCGGCAGTACTGACGGCCTGTATGTCAGTCAGCGCCTGCCCTATTGAGTACAAGGGGATCAAATTAGCATGCAGCAAGGGCCGTTTTGTCGCGTGAATGGCCTGAACGGCCCGTAGCCGCGGGCGAGGTCGCTGCCCGGGGTCCGATTTATCCGCGGGGGCGCTGGGCGTGCAGGACGGCCGCGAATGCACCGGGGGCCCCTGCGCCGGGCAGGCGGGCAGCCCTGTGCGGCAGCCGTCCCGGTCTGTGGCGCGGGGGGACGCGCCTCCGGCGCGCCTGGCCTGCGCTAAGCCGCATCCGCGGCGGGCGTGCGGGGGCGGCGAGGGTGCGGGGCCCAGGGAGGGGAGCCCTTGGAGCGTGGAGCTAGTCAGGTGGGTCGGGGGCGATGTGCGGAACGGGGGGCGAGACGATTGCCTTGCGGGGGTGAAGTGCGATGATTGGGGTGGGGGTTGTTTCAGCGTGGCGTCCTGCGGGGTTTTGAGAAGCTTTGCGGGGGGAGCGGGGAAAGGGAGGGGCGCCTGTAGCGCTTGGGTTTCGAGTGCGGTTGCGCGTGGACGGGGGCTTTTGGGGCTCCGCCGGCGCGGTGGTTGCGCGGTTGGAGTCATGCCGGCCGCGGTCGCGGAACATCCCGGCATCCTGCGCGCGGCGCGTTGTGCGCTTTTGGCGCGTTTTTGGCGCCCGAGGGCGCTGATTGGAGCGAGGTAGGGCGTTGGGGACGCTTGGTGGCGGGAGGCGAGGGCGGCGCCGGCGCCGTCGCGTTCCAGATGCCGCCGCCATGCGGAGGCTGGCCACCGCGCGGTATATGCGCGCAGGGGGGCAGTACCGGGGATCGGCGCACGGACATTGGTATCTCCCCTTTTGGCGCAGTCGTGGGCATACGCTTCGAGCCACGTTTGTGGGGTGCCCAGCCCGCATCACACCCCCTGTTTGCGATCTCCTTTGTCCGGGCTGGGGTCACGGGTATGCGCCCTGGGCGCGCGCAACCGGCCTCTTGACCGGTGCGCGTCGCCTTCCCCCTGCGAAGGAGACGATGTTCGCCTGAGGTGCGGCCCATTCCCAACGCACTGGCCAACTCTGTATCCGGAACGTATCCACCGATTCGGCAGCAGCCATGGGCTGTCACATCCCACCAAGGCCTGTTTTGCTGTCATCTGAGGCGACCTGCGGCTGGGCGCCTGTGCAGGGCCATCATGGTGCGGCGCTGAGCGCCCGCCCTCCGGCGTCGCCCCGTTGGAGTTAGCTATTGGCGGAGATGGCCGTGGCGGTGGGGGACATGGCGTTCCGCACGTCGCGGGACTCCAACCCATTCCGACAGGGAGAGCTCCAGCGTGGCACCTACGACTTTCGCTACGACAGCGGCAACTACCGGCGGGCGGACTCCGGCGTCTCCGGCGTCTCGGCGGCCTCCAGCAGCTACCATTCCCCCGAGAACGCCTCCGATCACGACAGCTACTGCTCCGTGGCCGAGGGGTACCTTTCGCAGGGGCCGGAGATAATACCGAGGAGGACACCGGACGGACTGGTCGCGGACGCGGGGTTTGGCAGGCAGGGCGGGGGGGTGCCGCTCCTGCACGCCCACCTGCCCCCCCTGCCCAGCAGCTCCCGCAGTTGGAGGACATCCGAGGAGAGCAGCTTCAGAACGGCGAGCACGATGCGGGAGATGACGAGCCCAGGCTCGGGATCCGCCGGGCCTGGGACCCCGCCTGTGCATCCGCCTAGAGGGACATCCGCCGGTGTTCGGCCGGGTGGCCATGCTGGCGGGCAGTCGGACTTTCTGGACGCCGATCCTTACGCGAGGATCAAGAGCCTGGAGGCTAACCGGTTCACCCAGTTTGGGCAGCAGGGCAGGAGGCGGGCGAAGAAGCCCAGCATGTGGAAGCGGCTCATATTCCGGGGCTCAAGCAATTGGAACAAGAATGAGCCTGAAGATGTGAGAAGAGGGACCATTCAGCAGGCTGGGCTCTCTCCTGGGGTGGCTGGGGGCGTGAACATCGACTCGCTGCCGGAACACCTGGCGATGATGTCCTTGTCCTCGATGAAGGCCCAGAGGTACACACAGAAATACGGTCAGTCACAGCGCGGGGGCGGAAACCTCAGGGGGGGAATGAGGTCGGAGTACTATGACCATGAGCCGCTGGTTGAAAGCAGCCAGGAACGCTGGAGGAGTGCGGCTGAGGGGGCGGCCAGGAACGAGGTGGAGATGCATTTGGACGAGTTTCTGAAAGCCAGCGTGGAGTCGTTTGCGCCCCTTCGCCCGGCTGCTCGCAGCCCACCCATTGGGTGGTACAACAACAGGGCGTTCAGCCCGAGGGAAACACGCAGTTCTTCCCCCAAAAGCTCCGAGTCGCATGTGCATGTGTCCCTTACAACTTGGGACCCTGCGCAGAAGGAGGCCAAGCCAGCGATTCAGGACCTGATGAACACCACGCCTGACCACCTGATGTTCAGCTCCTTTCCAACTGAAGAAACCCGGGAAGAGCAGGCCATGCCGCCAAAACTGATGACGAGTGCACCGCAGGGGATTGACTTCTTTAACATGATGGGGTCCGATGGCAGCATGTCCGAAGAGGCAGGCCCCTCATGGCGAGCAGAGGACTCACAGCGGTCCATCGTCGTCAACATCGAGGTCCGGGAGTCGCATGAGGAAGTGCCACAGGGCAGCTCGGGTGACGAGACAGCCAGGGGCGTCCAGCTTGCCCGTCCACCGTCGCACTCACACTCCATTTTTTCTGATTCAGATTCGTCATCCACGGGTTCATCAACACCACGAGCCCTTCCACCTGTGACAACGGGTGCCCCATCCAACCAGGCGGCGGTCACTGGCACGTGGGGCCTACCACAGGATTTGGAAGCTGCGCCTCGGCCAGCGGGCAGTAATCTACCTGCAGTGAAACATGTGCAACGGGGAATGTTCCGGGAGCCCAGCACACTGGGCATCACCAGCGGCGACCACATCCCGTTCTCCATCGACAGCGAGTACTCACAAGACACCGATCCCCACATTCTCAAGCCAGTGACGTTCCAAGACAAGGAGCTATTTGGTGAGCAGCCACAGGCTGCAGGCAACGCAACCAAGTCAGTGGACAAGTCGGGGCTGCCCATTCCTTCTGAGAGCATCGAGAGATTTGTCAACATTCCCTCGATGTTCACGACTGAGACGGGGTTTGAGGATGGCCACAATTCCGAACAAACGGCTGAGGAGAGTGATAGAGAGAGCTCTGAGGCCAGCTATGGGCGCAAGCTTCAAGGCAACGACAGGCCCTCATTTGAGGGCACCGACGCCGATGCCAGCAAAGTCACGTATCAGGAGATCTTTGAGGGTGTTAATAAGGTCCTGGACAACGTTGCAGGCATTGGTGTGGCTGGCAAGGAGCACCGCGAGGACAAGCTGACGGACCTGGATTCCTATGGCCATACCTCTGGCCCCACAGGGAAACCACACCTCTCTCAGAAGAGCAGACGGCTCCAAGCCATGTCTAGGGCGTATCAGGGTGCCTCACTGTGGCAGGAGCCTCTGAGGGCAGGCATCCAGACCAGAGGAGTGCCTCTTGAGGACTCAGAAGCGACTGTGTCAGGAGATGAGTACGAAGAAGATAGGGATGACTCTGCGGCCACAAAGAACACGAGTGATACGTCGGGACAGTCTGCCATGACGAACTTTCAGGGGCCGAGCGAGCCGGAGGTGCCGAGGCTAAAGATGGACGAGAACTTTGTACCGCAGCTGCCCGCGTATTGTGAAGATAGGATGTGGACCTTGGCAGAGGTGAAGAGGCTCAGTGGTGTGTGGATGAAGGACCTGAGGGCAAGCGACCCCCCAGGACCGTTGTGTGACTTTCTGGAGCTGGGATGGATCTTCCAGAAGGCAATAACGAACTCAAGGCATCTGCAGGTGAGAAGCTGCCTTTGCAAATTTTGCTGCTTGGCTTACGATTGGTGAGGCATTTGGGGACAGGCTGCTTGTGTCAGTTCTTGACAGCTCCGGCACTGACCAGGAGCTTTGTTTGATGTTAATGAACAATTTCATGTTTGTTGCACACAAGTGCAGTCAAGGCAGACACAGAATGGACAGCTGACAACTCATGCCACTGAGTTCAGTGGTATTGCCATCTGCACATCTCCAAGTGCACTGAAAATGGACATAGTGTCCACAACGGATAGTACTGACAGTTATGACTGTGCCATCCCGCAGATTGAGGTGTCTGACGAAGGTGTCAGAATGAAGGCCAAGCTATTTGGCCTCTTTGAGCAGATGGAACAGCTTTCTTGGGACTCTAGCGGGTGCCTAGTTCCGCGTCGAGACCTCAGGACTGGATTCACGCATGTCTGGCTGGAAAGGATACCAGGCGGCTTCAGGCAGTGGTGTGTGGAATGGACACTTTCGAAGCCAGCGCTCTGCCTTCTGTTGCTTTTTCACACTGCAGCCCTGTTGTATAGCATAGGTCACATGACATGTGTTGTTGCCTGTGTTCTCTTCACTATGCTTCAATTTCTGCCAGGCGCTTTCTGTCAGCTTTGCATCGTGCTCGGTCTTATCAAAGGAATGTGTGCTTGCTTTGTGTGACGAAGGAGCATCACTGCAGCTGAGTCTGTGCCTGCAACTGCTTTTGAAGCTTGACAGAACGCAACCCAAGCGTGTCCAAGATGGCATCAGTAGTAATTGTGATTGTGTCCAAAGTCTGGGTGCTGGCCGCAGTGCCATCTTTCTTCACAAGATGGCTTCCCCTTGTCCCTTGCCAGATTAGTGCTGTTGCTGCATATACTGCATAGCAGCAGACAACAGCAGAGTGCCACCCTGGAGGATTCCAAAGGGAGCAGTTGTGCCCCAGTGGATGTTCCATGTGCTGGTGGAATGCGGTTGGCAGTAGCAAAGATGCAGTTATAGCTGTGGCCCAGATCTTCTGCTTGCCGTTCTGAATTGTTCACGATGACTCCATTTCAGGAGTCAATGGGATGAGCCTGTGGCCGGCGACAAGGTTGAAGATTATCACTTGACACCGGATGGTCAGAAGCTCAGAGTATATGCTCAGCTAATTCGGCACACGGGACAGGTTTTGAACACAAGGTGTGGATGTCCTCCACAAATCAAGTGCTATGTCACTGTTGGTCCATCGGTGCAATGCTGGCTGGGAGATGCGAATGATCACTGCATCATTTTCATGCAGCTGGTTTTGTGCTATCTGTTTGGATGCTTTGGGTCCTGGATTCTTTGGGCCCAGTGTTGTCTGCACAGCCATCTCTACACCCACACCCTGTACAGGTCATTGAACACAGGCAAAGTTTTGGTTTCTTTCTTGTGGACATATGTGTCGACGTAGGCTTGCATGTGTCCAATCTCCACATTCCTGTGTTGCCATTGCTGCTTGTTTGCTCCAGGTGTTTATGCCGCCTGCATGGTCGACTTCATGGCACAGGGGCAACTGCAGACGACTATTTCGCTGACATAGAACCAGTGTCCTTGTGGGTGCTGCCCCTGTGATGGTGCTGCGTGCCGATATAGCTGCTATTCTATTGTGTGGATTGTTAGCCTTTGAGGTGTCCTCCTGGGGACACCAGCAACTAATGGTGGATGGGTTGGCTTGCAGGACGGTGTTCAACAGGGTGTCAGGCAGGGACACTGGTTGAAACACTACATGTGAAGGAGCGTCTTTTCTAACAGAGGACACGCACTGTTCTTTCCCCCAAGTTGCATGCATTCAGAGTCTGCTGTGAGCGTCAAGAGCCCCCCCCCCCTCCCCTATCCCCTCTGAAGAAGGCAGCTGGGGAGGGAATGTGCTGCTGGGGTGGGAATGTGCTGCTTGGGTGCACGGGCAGGGAACGGGCCCTACAGATTGATGCAATCCAGGTTCGAGGTGCCTCTGTTCCTAGTGGTGGCTGTCGCACTCCCAAGGCTAGTTAACGCCTACAAAAGGCAATCTCCCTTCGAGCCCTGTGGCCAATAGACCCCAGGGAGTGCTGATGGCGCGTTCCACACCTGTGCGGTGGAGATGCATGGGTGGAGCGTGTCGCTAGATTGCTCCAGGCACTGAAGGCTGGACAGCAAGAGGAAAATTTCCAGTAGTCTGGAGCTCGTGTGTAGGAAGTGTGTAGCCTGCACGAGTGGGCAACAAATAAGGCGACCGTGCTGGGATGGCATGTGCGCGAATTGTCATGGGGCTCCTCAGCCACCGGGGTTGGGGTGGAACGCAATGGGTACACAGGTAGGAGCCGCCGTGTTGATGGACCTGAAGTCGTGTGTTGCGATCGTTATGAGCAGTACGCTGTGCGCATAGCTCGTGAAAATAAGAAAGGGGCTAGCAGAGAACGTGGTGTTCGAACGATTCTTTTCGTGTTTTGTTGGGAGAACACTTGACACATGTCTGCGTGCTGAGAGGTGTGGAGGCCATGCTGCTGGCTGGCAATGGTGACAATTCATTCCATGCTGTGCATGCACCGCGCTCGAGAGCGAGGGGATGGTTGATGCTGGCGAGTGAGACCTCTTGGCAGGTGTTGCTGCTCCTCACCAGCCTCTCGCGATCCCATTTTGGAGGGTGGCATGCACGGCGTGGTGCAGGACTTCATGTAGGTTGTGATGACGGGCTTGTGAGTGCTGTTGGTAGACTGCTGTGGTGTTTCTCCTGGAAACGACCAGCTGGTCCGCAGGATGGGAACGAAGGTGGTAGGGACACCTTGTGCGAGCATCGCGACCCAAATCACATTCTAGGACATTTTGACGTCTGTTTTGTTGACGAGTTTCGATGCTTGCACAATTCGTCTAGCTATTTGTTAGTGCGGCGGAAATTTGTGTTGTACGGTGGACACTGCTCGCAATGGCGTCGCAAAGGTGCACCCTGCATAAAAAGGGCTCCTGGGTGCCGGGCGTGCTGGCACCCTGGGCATGCCCTCTGCACTCTGCAAGGGCGTTCGGGGGCGCTTGAGCTGCCTTGCTACTCGCCCGTGGCCCTTGGCAGGTGCCGAACCTGGAGGATGGGCATGGGGTCGTTCGGTGGGTATATATTTGTAAATTTGGTGCGCTGTGACATTGGCAAACTTGGCATAGTGTGCGTTCTGCTATGCATACCGTCCTCGCATTATAAATGAGCTTGTTTTCGACGCTTCTATTCGTTGGAAGACTTTGGTGGTAATCTTGCGTTGGCCGTGCAGCACATTTGCATGGGAGGGTGATACAGACGAAGCTTGTGACAATCGCATGCGGCGGAACCGACCTTTTGGCTGTGGCGGCGCCCTTTTCAGAAATGAAGCTTTCCTGGTGGCAGCAAACACTGTGGAGGGTGGAGTCGAAGTGGCCGGGAACACTTCTGCCCCGTATCTGGGCTCGGCATGTGGCGGTGCTGTGCAGCAATTGCGTACACGCTGGCAGTGCAGCGCCTCAGAAGACACGCCAATGTGGCCATCAACCGAAAAAATCGATTTGTCAGATCGATTCATCAGTTTGGTTCACCTGCTGGCAGTGTACACCGACGCGATTCTCTTGTGGCGACCCGTCCTTGTGCGCATGCGCCACTTGTGTACAACCTTGAGTTGTCATCTTTGGCAGGGCGCAGCGCACCAAGGAGGGAGCAAGCCCAACGGTCTGCAAATTTGTGGTGCCTTATAGGTGCCTTATACAACAGCATTCTGCTGCAACGAGCCCTTCTTGGTGTCAAATGGACTTGACGCAGCCCCCCTACCTCTTGTTAGTGTCAATCCTTACAATGACGCCGCATGACTCGGCAGCACCTATCAGGGAAGACACCGTTGGATTGTAGTGCACTCAGCGCTGAAAAGAACGCTTAAAGTTTTGTGTCTTGCACGTCTTGCTCTTGTTCCAAATGGTTATGTTCATGTGTTCGAGGCGTTGAAGGCTCAGACTCAGCAGCATTTCCTTGGGCCAGAACAAGTGTGCCATGGGCTGCTGAGGAACATGTTGGCCTCAAACGAGGAAGACGACAACAAAATATTACTATTGTACATAAGTGTGTTGCAATTAATGCATATATGTTCGCTTAGGGAAGGCACCATGTCGAAATTGGTGCTAAAAGTGGGGGAGTCCAGACCTGTGACGCTAAGGGATTATGCAATTGCCACAAAGTCGACACAAGCTATGGGCATCCACAAAACGCCGTTGATCAGTGGCAAACGACTTGTGGGTTACTCTAAAAGCTCCCCAAAGTGTTCAATCTTCAAGGAAGGTCCCATATTGTCTGAATTGAGAGCGTACGGGACTGCTCCCATTGCTTGCCATGGCTTTTAGAATCCCATTTTGCAGTCCTCTACAATCATGGAAACTCTGGCTAATATCTTTCTCAAAAACGTCTTGAAAGTTGTGTTAGGTTATTAGGTAACGGTGACAAATTATCCTGGAATCGATATAAGGATTGATGCTAAGGAGGGGGGAGTAAGATGGCATTACA